TTCAAAGTGACAAGGCGGACCCGGAAGTCGGCCTGCCAGGCTTTCTTTTCGGGCAGTCTTAGAGTCTAGGTGTTGGGTTTGGGGTTTAGGGTTTGGGGTTTAGGGTTTGGGGTTTTGGGTTTAGTGTTTAGGGTTTAGGGCTTGGGGTGTTGGGTTTGGGGTTTAGGGTTTTGGGTTTAGGGTTTGGGGTTTAGGGTTTTGGGTTTCGATTGGTTTCGACTTAGGGGTTTAGGCCCAGTTTAGGCCCCACGGTTTAGGCTTTGTCAGGTCTCTTAGAGAGGAGCGTTCTTTAGGGGCTATACGTTGAAATACAGCTGGCTCCTGCTTTTGCTGTAAGGCTTCAGAGTACGGGGAGTATCATCAGTGAGTTTTGGGCTCTCTGGGTCAGTTTCCATGGGAGCTATGGGTTTAGGGTTTAGGGAGGATCCAAGGGAGCCATCGGGGCCTTACTAAAATTAATCGGGTTGTGGGGCATATTGCATACTATACTACAATCATGTTCCAACTCTATATAAAACTCCAAAAATAGTATTGGTGATAATTTAAGCCTCAAGTATTGCATCCCAACGCACAGAACGGCGAAGATCGTGACTCGAAATCCCAAAGCCCCCTGTACCCTAAACACATGGATCTTCTCAACAATTGATCAAAACACCGGGGAAACATTGTGACTGTCGAAAAGCCCGTAAGCAAACTGTCCGACCCTTTCAAACACCTAAGCCCGATACCCGACAAGCATTATCTATCATCAATACAGGGGCCTTCATAACTAGAATAGGGTTCGGGGGTATCTTATACTCTAATTCCCAGAGGGTCCATATATACTACCATTCTGGAATTATGTACCACAAGACCATCCTTATGATGGTTTTGGGGACCTAATTCCATCATAGTAGTATATATGGACTCTCTTGGATTATTAATAAGGAACCCCCAGAATCCTATTCTGATTATTAAGGCCCCTACATTACATCCTGAAACCTGGACCCGGATCCCCTCTCAGCGCTCGAAACCCCAAACTCTCAACGAAGGCCAAGACCAGACTCATCGTCCGAGTCGGCAAAAGGATCCTCTTGTGTGTGTGTGTGTGTCATGTGTGCTTCCGGGTTCCTGTATTTAGTTCGATAAGTATAAAGGGGTAGGGTTTGAAGTTTAGGTTCTTTTAATAAAGAGTTCTATGAACAGGTTGGGCTAGGTCAATTCGTGCTTGACCTCTGCTATACACCTTTCGGGTGTACGAACAGAGGCTATTGCTGAAACGGTAGCTTTTCATGGGAGCTAAAGTTTGGAGGTAGATATAATTATGGGTTTATTTGCAACGTACTGATCATGGCTCTGCCATTGAAATTTGGGAGCAATTCCGGGATCAGGGATCCAGGGTTTGGGGCATGCTTTCAATGTTACACGCCAACGGCCGAGCCCCAAGCCCCGTGAAAGCAGGAAATGGGCTGCAAACAGTCCTACGATGACGACTACTGTAAGTTAAAGGTTAGCTACTCAGCGCTTAAGGGTATATACTGCGCTTTTTGGGTTTAGGCAACCAGGTCCACTGTAAGACTGTGCAATGCAAGCCATTCCAGCTGAAGACCTGTAAGCTTTTACTAGTTTCGACCCTTGTTTCCAGTGGCGGATTGAGTCTGCAGTGCAAGGTGCTATGCTCAGTCGGACCATGCAGTTCGCTTTCCCGATCCCGGATATGCTCGGTCTTAAGTCCCGTAGCCTGAGCCCCAGGCCTTTCGTTCCGGAGAGTTATATTCAGGCATTACATGCTCCTCAGTTCAGATGCATGCTCTTCGCTCTTCTAGCTTAGGGAGTTGTGTCTCTACGCACAGCGAGGCACCCTGCGCCACATCAGACTGCCTTCGGCGCGGCTGGAGCAGGGTAACCGGCTGCTGGTGGCGCACCTGGCGATGATCATGGTAATGATGATGATGACGATGATGTCTTGGTTTAGGGTGTATGTAGGGTGATGTTGAAAGTGATTCAAAAAAGGATCATGATGTGGATGCTGGTTCTGGTGTATGTCCCGAATACGGGACGTTTACACAGTTGGTGAAGGCCTTGCCTATTTTCGGCAGTTGGCACCGCTCAGCCCCCAATAGGTAAATGTCATCCAAGGACACAGCCTCAAACCCTCACGCTCTCCAGGTTCAACACCCACAACAATCTGCATGCCAGACTGCACGACATGTAAGGGGTTGCTTCTTGACATTAATCTAGGTCTTAGGTATGCAGCACTGCCAACTCAAAGGCTACTACCACAACGCAAGTAAACCTTGGGCTACGCTTCGCTCCTGCAGGCTGGCTTGCTTTTGCTTCAATCTGAAGCTCTGTCACTCCTTCATGAAATCGTATTACTACTACGGCGACTACGACTACGAGTACGATTACAACTGCGACTGCGACGACGACGACTATTGCTACGATTTCATGAAGGGGTGGCAGAGTTTCAGATTGATGCAAAAGCAAGCAAACCTGCAGGAGCGAAATGTAGCCAACCGTGGACTTGTCGAGGGGCGGTGGCGAAACAAGACGACTACGTTGTGCTAGTAGCCTTGGACTTGGCGAGTGGCAAAGTAGCAGCAGTGGGCCCTGAACCCTCGAACCCTACAAAACATTAGGGTCGCCCTGGCCATTTTGAAATCAGTGTTCAGTTCAGCGCTACCATTACCTGGAATCTTTTCGTCGCTGCGGGGCAAGTTTTCAATTTCATGTGGGCATCCCGGAACCCTAAAATCCAAAATTCAGGTGCCTTAACAAATTGAAAGGGTGTTTAGCATATGATACCGTACAGGTATAATAAGGAGCCCTGAGGAAAAGGGTTTGTAATTCTCGGCTTCCATGTTATCCCCAATCCTGTACCCTAAACCAGTGCCACCCTTCTGCAGCTCAAGACAAGCTATCCGAGACTCCAAAACCACTTAAACTAAAGAATATAAACCTGGAGCCATGTAACCAATCCTAAATCCTAAACACTAAGCCCTAAGCCCTAATTACCCTAGAAGATACATGAATGTACCTTGAGCCATGATCCCCGCCCTCTAAACTCGACACCCTAATATAGGGGCCTTAATAATTCGAACAGGGTTTTGGGGTATACTATGCTATACTTATAACAAGGAACCCCCCAACATAGTAGAGGTAATTATTTAGGCCCTTCGGTTAAGCCCCCTCTATACCCCTTCTAAACCCCCTCTAGGACTCCCTCTAAACCTCCTCCAAACTCTAAACCCTCTCCAAACCCCCTCTAAACCCCCCCTACTCCTAAACCCTAAACCCTAAACCCTAAACCACCCGTGGCACCTGAGGGAGCGTCTGCATCCGAGTCAGCGAAGGGATCCTTACTCTCAAGGCATGGAGTTTGCCACTTTCGGGCTTAGGCTCTAAGGCTATTGGCTTTGGCTTAATGGGTTTATGGGTTTATGGGTTTAGGGTTAAGGGTTTAGGGTTGAAGCTTTGGGCTTTAAGGTTTAGGGAAGTCAGAACTACAACATAAGGGGTCTGAATAAATGGAAAGGACGAACTTGCCGTCCGGTTTTCGGCGAACATGCTCTGGGCAAAAAGATTACTTGCTTCATGACGGGCTGTCGGAGTATCTGATAAGCTTCAAAGATAGTGGACAGAGTTCCGCCTTCTGGAGAACCTGATTTTAGCCATACTCAAGGGGGGCCTTGGTAGGGTGTCAGGATCAGGGTTTTCGGGATTCCGGGGTTGCACATCCTCGCCTTTAAACCCCATAATTACCCTGCATCTTAATTCCCTAACCCTAAACCCTAAACCCTAAACCCTAAACCCTAAACCCTAGACCCTAAACCCTAAACCCTAAACCCTAAACCCTAAACCCTAAACCCGAACGAAGCCCTCACATAGACTCCTAGGCTCCTAGACCCTAAACCTACACCCTCCAAGACCCTCATCTCAGATCGAAAGCCTCCAGCTGAATTCTCAGGAAAGCACTTACGAAACTTCAAGAGCTCCATAGAAGCTGTTGCTGCGGTTGCTGCTGTTATTTAGGGTTTAGGGTTTAGGGTTTAGGGTTTAGGGTTTAGGGTTTTTTGATTACACCTATGTGCACATGCCTCTCCTCCTCCTTTGCCGGCTACTCCCACTCCTTCTTCTCTGCCGGATACTTCTACCACGACAACGACGACTGCCGACCAGACAGCGCCTTATGAAGGGTCAAGCCCTAAACACCTAAACCCTAAACCCTAAACCCTAAACCCTAAACCCTAAAACCCTAAACCCTAAAACGCTAAACCCAAAACCCAAAACCCAAAACCCAAAACCCTAAACCCTAAAAGCGGCGGCCGGATCAGCCGAGGTGATGCCGACGTCCACTTTGCGTCCGAGTCGCCGCAGCAGGCGCTGCCGCTTCGGGCTTGGGCGCTGCGGGCCGAGACCTTCTGTGTCGCGGTTTTTCTACCGTAATAATTAGGGTTTAGGGTTTAGGGTGTAGGGTTTAGGGTTTAGGGTTTAGGGTGTAGGGTGTAGGGTTTAGGGTTTAGGGCTATTAGAATAGGGTTTGGGGGTATATTACGTGTACCATGGTTATAGTACGAAACCCACAGATTTTGTCCATACTTTGGGATTTCTATGTGCTAATCCAGCCTATAGAGGGTGTACACATCAGGTTTAGGGCTCACTTTTGTGGTTCTTCGGTTGCTTCACGCAGGTTGTGTGAGCATGCTTCCTTCTGTTTGGCCTTTGGTTCATTTTTTTAGAAATTTAGGGTTTAGGGTTTAAGGTTTTGGGTTCAGGGTTTAGGATTTGAAGGCAGAGGAGGAGCTCTTGGAGGTACGAAGAATTTGGGGTTTCTAAGGTTACTGTGGAGGCCTTAGTAAGGAAGGGAGCAGTACTGGTAGTTATCTGGGTTTGTATGGTCATTAATAAAGCTGTCTGGAATGACAGCGAGATATGAGCAGAAGCTACTTACAGTCAATGTAAGGCCTAAATAACCCTAAACCCTAAACCCTAAACCCTAAACCCTACTACACATGGAAACCTTCAAGCGGAGGTGCTTTGACCTAAGCGTGCCGGCAGCCAGCTGAGCGGGTCAAACTCAAAGGTTGGTAGGTTGGTGTGGGCCTTAATACTTAAACTTGGAGTCTTTAATGCTTAGTTTTGGGAAGTATGATACCATATGATACGAGGAACTCCAAAAATCGCCAGAAAATCTATCAAGGGGATGAACGTTTCGTTTAGGGCTTGGAGCCGAGGTCCCCGAACCGGAGGAGATCACGCAAGCAGAGACCGAGTTTGGGATTCAGGGTTAGGGTTTGGCTGACAGCCATCAGCCTTCTCCCGAGAGAAGTTCGAACTACAGAACCAAAGCTCGAAACGAAGCTCTAACACCCTCAAGCTTCAAGCGAACATCGTCAGTATCTTCATCACCACCACCACCACCATCATTGTCGCCAGTAGTAGTAATTCCAATGGTTAGCAAGGTCATCCTCCTCAGAAGACCGTCCTCATCATCAACACCATCATCATCAGCATCACCATCATCATCGTCGTCATCGGTATCATCATCATCATCACCATCATCATCATCATCATCATCATCTTCATCCTCACCATATCGCCATTATCACCACCATCATTCATCATCATCACCATCGTCATCATCGTCGTCATCATTATCATCATTTTCATCATCCTCACCATATCGCCTTCATCACCACCGTCATTCATCATCTTCATCATCATTATCATGATCATCATCATCATCGTCATCATCACCATCAGCATCATCGTCGTCATCATTATCATCATCTTCATCATCCTCACCATATCGCCATCATCACCACCGTCACTCATCATCATCATCATCATCATCAAGATTTCCAACATACTCACACGATGATAGTGCCAGCATGGCCTGAGAGTATCAACAACGACATCAGCGAGTTTAGCAACACCACGACTTAGACTTATGTTGCTGCTGCTGCTGCCGCTGCTGCTGTTGCTGGCTGCTAGGCAAGGCTGCGCTGAATGATGACGACGACTTGAACGACGATGCTGTTGATGTTGGTGATGTGGCGGTAAGGACCAAGTTAACAGGCATAGAGAATGAGAGGTCTTCTAAAGCGGAGCACGCCAGCAGCCCATTCTCCGACAACCAAAACCCGTGAATCTCAAGGCTCTTGGAAGCACTACGAGGTTCCGGCTTGGCGGGCTTCTTGCTCGCCTGGCGAGCTGGATTCTCCAATATACTGATAACTGGTATGTCTATTCTGTTCTGTGTACAATGCAGATGATGCGTACTGTATGCGTATGTATGCATGTGTATGTGTATAT